AAAATGTTATTTCTCAAGTGACTGAATGAAAGAATGATTAAATACCAGAAAAGCGGGATATGACATATTATCCATGAGAGTACAGATGTGCAGGATATCTATGAAAGTATACTGTATTGGGCATACACAGAAATAATGAAAACATTATCTTTCCAAACACTAATCACTTTGGCAAACAAACAAATTATAAGCAGAGAGTAGTGAAAATATACTCCTCCACCCTGGATCCAGCATGCCTATAGGACAAATTATGATTTTTAAGCCTATATTATTGTAATTCAATATTTTTTTTTTTTTTTTGGTGAGGAAGATTGGCCCTGAGCTAACATCTGTTACCAATCTTCTTTTTTTTTTTTGGCTTGAGGAAAACTGTCCCTAAGCTAACACCTGTGCCAATCTTCCCCTATTTTGTATGTGGGATGCCTCCACAGCATGGCTTGATGCATGGTGTGTAGGTCAGCACCCAAGATCTGGGCCCATGAACCCAGGGCCACCAAAGCGAGTGGGCAAACTTAACCACTATGCCACCAAGCCAGCCACCTCAGTATTTCTCTAAAACAAATATTGCACAAAATGTTTCATTTAAAATTTGTAGCAACTTGAAAGGTGACCATGGTTAAGTACATTAATCTAATTAAGTCTACTAATTATCTCTACACACCTTTTTGAAGAAATATTTAGTACAACACTCTCTAATTGATTCACACATATATATAACAGAGGGCTATATCTGTGAAAAGATTCATAGGTATTCCCTTTTTTAAAATTCTTTTTTAAAAAATACATTCTTTTTATCTCAAACTACCAATTCTACTGAAATCCTTCTTCTCTACAATGGAGTCTCAAAGAACACTGTCATCAAACTGGAGCCTTCCTTAAAGATCACTTAGTATGAACAGCTGTTCATCCCTCTGACCTAAGATGAATTAAAATTAATAGTCAGCATGCCACTGAGCCAAATTTGAATTTTCAAAATGGAATTTTTCCAAACAAAAGATTTCATTTCAGCAAGCTTCGACATCGCATACTAGCAGTTAACTTAAATGCTCTGTAAAGATGAAAACCTTAAGACCATGTGGTTAAAAGCTCAGCCAGCCGGTGCTCAGTGCCATAGGAGATTCTGGGGAAAGACCCGCCACCAAGACCACATTTCGCTCCAGGAATAAATCATGACCCATCTCAGTAATTGCCCATTGCTCCGGGCTACGCATAAGTGGTTCTGCCCACATGACCTCCCAATCACTGTGCTTATGAACAAGTTTGCAATGAAGTGATCATTTGTGTCTCAAAGCCCAGGAACTACTGTCTTAAAGTTAAGAGAACATCTCAACTAAACGGTATAACTGTTCTCACAACTGCCCAAATGAAAATGCTTAAAAACTATTTACCTCACTTTTTAAATGTTTCCTGTTAAAACATATATTTATAGGAACAAATTGTTTGACTTTTTTTTTTAGATTGGCACCTGAGCTAACAACTGTTGCCAATCTTTTTTTTTTTTTTTTCCTGCTTTTTCTCCCCAAATCCCCCCAGTACATAGTTGGGCATTTTCAGTTGTGGGTCCTTCTAGTTACAGCATGTGGGACATCGCCTCAGCATCGCCTGATGAGTGGTGCAATGTCCGTGCCCAGGATGGGAAGGAGTGAAACCCTGGGCCACCGAAGCAGAGTGACCAAACTTAACCACCCGGCCACGGGGCCGGCCCCTGTTTGACATTTTAGTTCAAACAAAATAAAACATCTACGTATCATAAATGTTAAGCATTTGCTGCTATAAATTGGCTTTGGCGTTCCAATTAACAAAAAAAATAGAGGCCACTGTAGCTCAGTAGTTATGCCTTAAAGCGTTTACGTGCAGATTTTGCACAAGGTCAGATGGACACAAGATGACTGCATTTACTAAGGGGGTCAATACTTTTGGCAGAGTGAATAAGTGGGCAGCAAGTCAAGATTTGCTTATTGTACTGGACCAAGAAATGTTTGCTATTTAGTCTTATTTTAAACCCACTCCCTTTCCTCTAATTTGGTGAGATCATAGAATTCTGGAGATGGAAGTTACCTTCAGGATAAACTAGTTGATCACCCTGGCCTTATCAGATTGAGATCTTGAGAGGCTGACTTGTCCTTACAGTTGGTTGATGACAGAGATGGGACTACAACTGATTTAAGGTTTTTATTAAAGCCAGGCTGTTGGTGCTGGCTCTTTAGTGCTGGTCTCTCATTCCTACAGAAACACCTAACTCCTTGGAGTTTTTCCTTCTAACCTACTTCACGGGTGAAACTGACTTGCCTGCTCCACTTCTGTGTATTGCGCTTTCTTCCACCTTTTCTCACACACTTAACCTGAATCCCCCAACATAAGGGCACCTCATTGACAACCACCCCCTAAGGGAATAGTATATGGGGACAGCTTCCAAAATCATGCTTGCTACACTCTAACAACTTCAACAGGAGAACTTTGAAAATGAACCACGTTGCTAAGGGAATTAAAAGAAATATACAAAAAATTTCTTAAAATTAAATCTTGATCTTAAAAGGTTCATTACAGTCCTATAACTGGACAACTCAGTTATGAACAAAATACTGAATTAAGCGTGAATAAGGACAGAGATTGCGACAACACATGTACAGGGACTAGGAATGGTTCCGGAAGCTACAGGAGGAAACAGAAGTATTATGACACCGGCAAAAAAGCGATCAGGGACACTTCCCACCCTCGGGAAGGTGCGCAGTCTCGAACTGTCCTCTGCAGAGGCCAGACGGGCTCTAGCCAGGGACAGAATGAGGGCTTAAGCTCGGGAACCAAATAGAGCCGACTCGCTGTGAGGGTCCCCGCGGGCCAGGGAGAGGGAACGGAGCCCCTGACCCGCCGTCTCCGCAGCCTCCCCGCCTAACCCGCCCAAGCCCTCCCCGCTGCCCCCAAGCGCCCGAGCCCTCGTACCTGTGAGATAGTTGGTCCACTTGTACAGAACCCCCTCCATGCTTCAGAGCCCGGCGCCGCGCATCCTCCCGGCCCGGCGCCGGCCGCGGTGATGGAGTAGGCGCTGAGCCTGGGCAGCCCCTCCCGGCCCGCCCCGACCCTCCCCGGGCGCCCCCAGCCGGCACCAAGCCGCCGTCCGCCCGCGCGCGCCGCCGGGACGTGGCGGCCCTTAGAGGCCGGGACGGCGGCCGCCGCGTGGAGCTGGGGGGCCGCGAGGTGTGGGCTCAGGCATCCCCGGGCAAGCCGCCGCGGCGGCGGGGGCGACGGCAAATTCGCGGCCGCGGTCGGCCTCCCGTTGGCGCTTCGGCGGCCCGGCTGCTCCCTCCCGCGCCTCAGCGCTCCCTCGTCCGCGCCCGCCTTCCTTCCCCCCGGGCTCCCCGTTTGTTTTCATTGACCCCGACGTCGCTTTCACTTCCTGGATGAAAGGGGCCGGCTCGTCCCGGGAAACCCCTCCCCGGCGGCGGGGCTGGAGGAGCAGGCGCGGCCTGCCGCCCCGCCGCGGGGCTGGAGGCTGCGCGCGGAGGGCGGGCCGCCCGGCTCCCCACCTCTTCCCTCAGGCCCTCGGCCGGCGGGGCCGGGGCTCGCCGCTCTCCTCCGGGCCGCCGAGGCTCGGACCCATCATCCCCCGGGGCCGAGGCCTCCGGGCCCCAGACGGGCGCGCAGCCTGGGGCCGAACGAGGACGAGCTCCCCGCGCACTCGGCCCGCGGGCGCTGTTTTAGGCCTCTCAGGTTTTCCGAAAACTAAGCCCCGGGTCCTTCCGGCGGTTGTTTATTCAAAAACACAAAACTTCCTTTTTATGTGTGCTTCGTTTCCTCCTCTCATTCCGAGAGTGCGAGAAATTGTCTCCCGAGAAGGCAGTGTGCCGCTGAGAGTCCTCGGGCCGGGGACGGCGCGGGGCCCCGAGGAGCTGTGATCGCGCCACCACTTCCCTTTAGGGTACAGAACATGCAACCGAACTTTGGAGTTTATTTTATTCCAAAGGTGTTTTTAATGATTTTCTAAAATCCCGTTTGGAAATGATCATCTTACATAACTGACAATAATTTTCAGATTGATGGAATTCTGCAAACGTTAAGCAGATACAGCAGGCCCAGGGCTGCGGCTTTTCTTAGCATCACTGAGGCAGAATAACACCTCCCCTTCCAGAACCTGATCCAGGCCTTCGCTGAAGCCTTTCTGGTCTGGGTGAAGTCTTTGGGTTCACTTGGAAATAAGGTGAATGGATCGATGCATATGTAATAAGTCCCATGTAGTTAAATGTTAATGATAGAATCCAAGCGGGTATAAGGCCGCGGTGATGAGATAGCAAAGTTCCATTTTTCTGTACGTTCGGAAGTTTTTCATAGTAAAACGTGGAGGGGGTGGGTAAGGCTGGCTTTGTGTCAGACTTGGTCAAATCCCCCACCGCGTAGTGGCTGTGAGATTGGAACAAAATGCCCAATATTCAGATGACCTCGTGTTCTCATCTGCGTAACGTGGGTAATTAGCGATCTGGCAGAGTTGGGAGGAAAAGTGACACTGCCAAGAGCTTCTCGCGCCCTCCGAAGGCCCTCAAATCAACGGCGGCCCCGAGTGGTGCGGGAGGGAAACGCAAACCCAGCCGCCAGCCCGAATCGCCGGCGGCGGCTGTGGAAAAGGCCTTTCCCGGGGCGGGGAGCAGCGGCCCCTCCGTCCACTCGCGACCAGGTGGCCGTGAGCTTGTGTGTGGCTTCGCCTGGAACCTCTTAATGCACGACTCCGACCCCGAGAAGGCGCGCTTCAAGGACACCCCAGAAGCAGAATGCCTCCCACGACACCCGCTAATTCTCTAGGGGTCTGAGGAGAAGCCTCTGACGCGCAGAAATGACAGCCGTATTCTCTGACTGCCACATCTCACCCTAGGCTGTTTATTTCGTGATTTGCCGGTTTCATTCCAGGAAGCGCGAGCGTGACTACCAAACCCTGAGGAAACCGGCTGTAAAACATGCGGCCACAGCGAGGAGAAGCGGTGCGATTGCGCAGTGTTGCCTTAGCGACTGAGGACAGCCAGTTGAAGCGCCGGGGACCGCGGGGACGCGACCCTCCCGGACTGGCGGACGCGCCGCTGCCGAGCGCGCCGCCGGGGGGCGGAGCCACGCGCCGCCGGCCCCGGCCCTTTGTGACGTAGCACAATGCCCGCCACGTGTCGGAACGCAGCTGCGGGGCGGACCCCCGGCGACAGTGCCACGCGTGAGGGAACGCGGTGGCCAACTGGAGCCGACTCCAGGAATCATGCATTTCTTATTCAGAGTAATCGTTTTCTTTTCCGTGTGGGGCATTTTCACTGCTCAGGGACAAAAGGAAGACAGCACAGAGGAAGTGAAAATAGAAGTTTTGCATCGTCCAGAAAACTGTTCTAAGACAAGCAAGAAGGGAGACCTGCTAAATGCCCATTACGACGGATTCTTGGCTAAAGACGGCTCGAAATTCTACTGCAGGTAGGAAATGCTGCGAACTGCTCCCGCGGCCAGTGCATGCGCGAAATCTCGCCTCCCTGCACCAGCCAGAAGCCCAATTGAAAGTTGTGCCTTTATTTTTAAGGGGGGAAAATCAGACTCGATGCAGTAGTGCCCTATTAAACTGAGTGTTACTTTTTAAGTTAGAAAATCTTGGCCCTAGAAATTATCAAAAATATACTACATCCACACGGCCCTCGCCTCCCCCCCCCCCCCCCCCCCCCCCCCCCCCCCCCCCCAGCATCGCCGCTGCTCTTGAGACCTATAGAAGTAGGTCAAGGTGCTGACTGTAAGGATGTTCGCGCTTTTCTTTTGCCGTGGGTGGGAGTGTCTTTACGGAGGATTACGTAGGGTAGTTTAAAAGAGTTTTTTCTGGCCTTCAGAAGCAAGATGTTTACAGGCTGAGGGCCACTTTCCAACTGAATCAAGAGGCCACTACAATAATGGCTTTCCTTGGTGACTTCTGGGCCTTGTGTCCTCCCACCTGCCCCGCTGCTACTCTGATTTAATTGATGGTTTATTACTCAGGGGGAGAATGTCTTTTCTTCATGTGTGCAATTACCTTATACAGATAGGATTGGGGAAAGTGCTTTACATTTAGGAGAAAATAGAGATATTGAGTAAGAAGAAAAGATGCAAATTTTAATTACCATTTCAATGAATTTTTGAGGCTAAAGTTGCGCTATCATTTTTCAGAATAAACCCAGAGAGGTTAGAGTTATTTGGGCAAGTCATGCACCTAGTTAGGGGCAGGAGACCCATTAAAAAGTTAACTAACTGTTGAATAGTTTTTGTAAAGATGACAACAAAAAAGAAAATGAGATTACTCCTGATGACTAGCTTTGAGCAAATCATACCTCTTTCTGGCTATTATAGGGGAAGTTTGAGCCAAACAGCCCACCAGGGGGTTCAGAATGAGTGCTAATGTAGGAAAGGAGATGGTTAGAGAGGACTCCAAGTTTGAATTACAACAATGCCCAGCTGTGTTTTAAAGTTTGATTTTATTTTTCTTGAAATTAGCTTACCTACATTTTGTTTTTTATTATAGCCGGTCGCAAAATGAAGGCCATCCCAAATGGTTTGTTCTTGGTGTTGGGCAAGTCATAAAAGGCCTAGATATTGCTATGATGGATATGTGCCCTGGAGAGAAGCGGAAAGTGATCATACCCCCTTCATTTGCATATGGAAAGGAAGGCTATGGTAAGGTGTTTTAATATTTTGTCTGTAAAATATATTTAAAAATAAATCACAGACTTCTGGGTGTATATCCAAAAGAATTGAAAGCATGGTCTCAAAGAGATGTTTCTTTACCCATGTTCATTGTAGCACTATTCACAGTAGCCAAAAAGTGAAATAACCCAAATGTCCATTGACCAATGAATAGATAAATGAAATGTGCTGAATACATACAGTGGAATATTATTCAGCTGTACAAAGAAAGGAAGTTCTGACATATGCTGCAACATGGGTGAACTTTGAGTACATTATGCTAAATGAAAAAAACAAGTATCGTATAATTCCACTTACATGAAGCACCTAGAGTACTCAAATTCATAGAGACAGAAAGAGAAGGGTGGTCGCCGGCCTAGGGGAGAGGGGAATAGGTAATTGTTGCTTAATGGGTGTAGAGTTTCAGTTTTGCAAGATGAGATAGTTCTGGAGATTGGTTGCACAACAATATGAATGTACTTAACACTACTGTGCACTTAAAATGGTTAGATAGTAAGTTTTATGTTACATATATTTTCCCGCAATGAAAAATTTTGAATCACTAAAAAAAATAAAATAAGAAGTCTTAGAGGAAATAATTACAGAACTATAGGGGCCAATAAACCTTAGCTCTATCTAGTCCAGTCCAGCCCAGTCCCCTCTTTTTACATATAAAGAAAATAAGACATTGTTGGAATACAGATCTCTGTGTCCAGAATTCTTTCCCCCGCATACTGGCAACACTCATAATGATCTTGTATGTTCTATAAGCTTTACCTTAGTCATTTTTATTTGTTTTTAGTATATATTATTTTATTAATTATTACATAAATGTCTATAGCACATACCTTTGGTAAGCAGTACCAAAGTCAAATTCATAAAACTCAGGAAACTGAAAATATGATTTTCCAGTAAAAGGACAGCACTGGAACATTGTGAAAAGAACATCTGAAATATAACAAGCTGTCAGTCACTATTACCCAAATTCAGGAGAAGCTTTGAAATGTGGAAGAAATGAACTGCTTCTTTCACTTTCTTACTTATTTTTAAAATCCTAGGGTGAGATCTGAGAACCTAGGTAAAGCAGATAAATGGGGAAAATGTTTGAAACCCATATGAAGACTCTTCCTAACCAATAATAAAAATGACCTATCCCGAGAAAGAGGCAGGTTCATTACCAAGTGGCCTGCTAACAAAAAATACAAGTGACCTTAAATCTGTGAGAATACTTAATTTTATTCATAATTAAAGAAAGGGAAATTACAAAAACCAGACATGATTTTCACTCATCAGACTACAAAGATATGAAAGTTGGCAAAGACATGGGAAAACCAGCAGTCTCATGAATTATTGCTGGGAATGTAAATAATTTGACCTCTCGAGCAATTTCTATCAAAATTTAAAATGCGATATCCCACGACCCAGTAGCTCTATTTGCAGGAATGTGCACAAGGTATGTGTAAAAGAACATTCCTTGCAGACTTTTTTTTTGGTAGCAAGAGACTGGAAACTACCTGAGTATCCATTGATAGGAAATTAGTTAAATTATGGTATATCTATACAATGGATTACTGTGCAGCTAGTAAAAAGAATGAAGCAGAGCCATATGTATTAATATGTTAAAAATAAAGTGGGATAGAATATATCATGGAAGGAATATTTATTGAGCATCAGTGCCAGGCTCTGTTCTAGGCACTGAGCATGAAGCAGTGAACAAAGCAGAAACAATTCTCCATCCTCCATGAGGTTACACGTGACGGGGAATTTCACGTATGCATCATGTTTCTACATGGACTATGTCTGGAAGGGTACACAGTCATCTGATGACATTAAGCGTTCCTGGGATTGAGGCCTGAGGGTCAAGGAGAAGAGATTTCTTCTCCCTCTATAATGTTTTCTACTGTTTAAATTTTTACCTTGTGCATGTATTAATTTTTGCAAAATTACATTTTTAAAAATCACTAAAGTTAAAAGTGAAACAGAGTAGAGAAATTTTTATAAAGGGGGAAAATGAGCAGTCTGGCAGAGGGACAGTTTCCATCTTGTGTTCTCAGTTAGGTCTTTGCTTCCTGTTGCTGTGTGAAGATTATAAAGAATGAATCTTTATCTCTTCGTTCTATGTGGAGCCCTTGCTAACTCCACCTATTTGAAATATTTAGTATGTAGTTAAAGTAAAAATTAATTTTCTACGATGAGATATTGTCCTTACTCCCAAATATTTTGTTGAAATGGCATGCCCTCTTTGAGGCTCTGTGTTTACTCATTAAGAGTAGTGATTCCCTCATCTGTTCATTCCAGCAAGAGCAGGGGATCACTGCCCCAAATTGGATTGGAGGAAGGGTAGTGGTTCAAGTCAAACCCAATCAGACTTAAAACTCCTAAAGAGAGAGTTCCAGATAACAACAGCTTCGTTTTCAATGCTTTTTGCCAATCATTTGGTCCCGTCAGAATAGCTCCCATGGAACCATAGTTTGTGTATCCTATTTTTATTTGTAGAGGAACCTGGGAGAGAGAGAAAATTGAATTGAAATTAAACTGAATGCAATACTTTTCCTAAAAATGTTGTCATAGGTTGAGGCCAGTTGTCTTTCAGTCTCTTTAATCGAATTTTCAGCATTTCCTTTCTCTCTTGTGTTGTCTCATCAGATGCCTCCACGTTCTGCCTACTACCGCAACACCCACTCCCCGCTCTGCCTAGAGCACCCACGTCCGGCATCAATAGGTGCTTACCCTGGATCCCATTACCCAAAGGCAAATGACTACTAAGTTAATCCTTTCTGTAAACTAATTTATGCTTAGATATGAATGACTACCCAGGCTGCCTAAGCTGTTCATAAACCAGACTCTTGCTGCAGAGATGTAGAAATTTGACTTGCCGTAGTTAGTTCATATTCAATCTGAAGTGTCACCAATAAACATAAAAATAGTGAATCTGGCTAGTAACACCACCAACGCTTCATTTCACGTATAAGGAAAAGGAGACCCAAGTGTGTTCTTTGTGACGTAAACTGCTAGTTTACCTGCATTACAGTAGTTCAGATTAGATTATCTTAAAAGTTGCAGTGTAGACCATAAGTAACTGCTTAACACAACTTCTTGATCAGATGAACTTTTTTAAATAAGTTGTTATTAAGACCTAACATTAGCTATAACTTTGTTTTAGGTAGTACTTGAAGAAGTCTTTCCTCTGCGCAGTGTCCTTGCCTCATGTCACAGAGCACCCCTGCATGTTTGAAATGCATGTGACTTGTTAGTGCTTTAATTAACAGTCCGTGTGGTATGTATAGATTCTTTACATTAACTCCTACGTCTTTGATCTGCTTGTCTAAATACAAGGAATTCTATAACAAATGCACATTTCTCTTTTCTTTATACTATAATTTTTTTGCAAGAAAAAACCTAATTGGCAATATTTTCTTTTCTATGTTCACAGTAGAATTATTCAGAAACTTCAACTTGTAATATTTGTTTCTTAAGAAATTTTAATTTATGTTTGAATTCGTTTTTAACTATTGTCAGATGTTATTTTTCTGTCATAAAGAGATCCTAATGGGCCAGAATAGGAATGAGTTTTGTAAAAATGATCATTGACTCAATCTCTAGCTCTTTTACTCTAAAGTCAGATAATATGAGGTACATCGATTGGGACGGTCGCATTAGTCACGTGATGTGTGGGTAGATTTTTCTGTGTCCTCGATTTGGAGGTGACTGATCCACTTTTCCTTTTGGCTGTAACTTTAAAGCCCTTTTCTCTTTGGATTATATAAATACTTTAGCAAGAATTCTCCACTTTTTCATTAAAGAAATTACTGTTTCCTTCAGAGAACAAACTTAGCCATTTTAAAAATAAACAGTAGGCGTCATTCATTTGGCAAATATTTAAGTGACCATGATGGATCAGGTACTGTGTGAGACTCTGGGAATATGCTGGTGACACAAGCCACCCACTGCCTCTTAGCAAGTCCTTTTGGCAGGTTGGTTTATAAAATGGTCATCTGAAATAGCCCATAGCTTGCTAAAATCATCTGTGACATCAGTTAATAGGTTAACTTTATTAAAGAGAACTATTCAACTGAATACTGAAATTTTTTATTGTGATTAGAAATTTCTTCATAAAATTGTTACTGGTTTATTCTGTCATTGCACTTTTTTTTTTGCTGAGGAAGATTCACCCTAAGCTAACATCTGTTGCCAATCTTCCTCTTTTTGCTTGAGGAAGATTCACCCTGAGCTAACATCTGTGCTAGTCTTCCTCCATTTCATATGTGGGTCTCTGCCACCGCCTGGCCACTGATAAGTGGTGTGTGTCAGCACCCGGGAACCAAACCCGGCCTGCCCACACAGAGTGCACCAAACCCAACCACTAGGCCATGGGGCCAGCCCCTCACTGCGCTTATTTTTTAACGTCTGTAAAGAACTTGAAAGTCAAATATATTGATACGTATGTTTTATTTATGCTTCCAAATAACTACACAAAATCATTTTCTAAAAGATTACTGATCTACGCTTTGAAATTTTTCTGCCCATGCATTTCTTGTCTGCACCAGTTCTTTGCTGTATAATGATGGGTTATATTAATAAAAATTACATGATTTATATTTATTTTAATTTAACCAGGAAATAATGGTCTGCTAGGTCCTTAGAACTGACTTGATGTAAAAACATATGGAAAAAAATCCTAAAAAGTATTTAGAAAGCAGTTTTTATAAATATGAATAATGTAATCATAATGCCATAATGGCTATTTGTGAATAAATATTTGAACGTTATCTTCATGTGAGTTAAACTGTTAAAAAAATTTATACCTTTAGCCGAAGGCAAGATTCCTCCTGATGCAACATTGATTTTTGAGATTGAACTTTATGCCGTGACGAAAGGACCACGAAGCATTGAAACATTTAAACAGATAGACACGGACAATGACAGGCAACTCTCTAAAGCCGAGGTAATTCAAACAGATTTCATATGTCTAATCTAATTTTTTATCACAATTTAAATACTTCTGTGTTACAGCTATGATTTTTTTACTTCTACCTAGTGTGGGCTGATTACTTTGCTTTTATAGAGCTGGTTACAAAAAAATCTAAGCTCCAAGAAGAAAATGTGCTTTTTCAATATAAAATTTGTAACCAGATCATCCTGTTCAATTTCCTTTCTCCCTGCTGCAAGAGGGTCATTAAAATACTAAACTCATCTCTACAGGACATTTCCAGCATCTAGACTACAGGGGCAGATCTCTTTCAAGCAGCACTGTAAGAATTTGTCACAGGGCAAATAATTCCCACCTCATAGGATGGCAAGGATTACATGAGATGATGAAAAGAGCTAGCAAGAATTTGAATTGCGTGGGCTAGAAGGTTGGTCAGGAGGAGCCAGAAGTTCAGCTCCCTAGCTTCTGCATCCCAGTTAGTCTTATATATGAATTGAAGGATTAATAAAGATCTCAGAATAATAATAATAATAGATAATTTTATCACATTTTCTCAGTACCGGGTACAATTATAAATTCATTAGTGTGTGAACTCCTTTAATCTCCATGACAGTTTATGAGGCAGACACTATTGTCATCGTCTCCAATTTATAGATGAGGGAAATAAATGATGCCCAGACAGGTTAAGTAACTAGCTTAAGGTTACACAGCTGTAAGTGGCAAAACCAGACTGCAACCCCAGCGATGTGGCTCCACTGTGGTGCTCTTAACCATGAGTCTACCCTGCCTCTTTCAGGGAATTCCCAGCATGAATGTTTCAGGGCTAGTGTTTGTTTCATTGAAGTCTAGTGCCTTCCTTAATCTCACTGACTAGACTCTTTTTGCTTAAATTGGGTAACCCAGTTGTCTCCCCTCTTGTTTGGAGGCAGTTTAACTTTCATAACTGTACCGCCTACGTAGGTAATAAAAGGCAACTGCGTCATTGATTTCAAGTGATAAGAGGAAGCCCCTTTTCTCTGTTTCTTTTCCTCTCCCTCTCCAATCCTTTCCCCACCCTAATTCCACTTCCTTCCCCAAGATGTTAGTAAGGACTTTCCCGGGAAACTCTGGTTGGTCAGTGATAGAGGAGGGGTAAGGGACTGCCTTGTTCCTTCAGAGGAGCAGTTAGAGGGGTGGCACACTGTCCCCAGTCTGTACCTTCTCTTGACTTCTTCTCATCCTCTTGAGAGGAACAGCAGCTGCAGGTGAATCCACAAGGTACCCAAACCCCAGCCTGTGCACACAGACTGTTCAGTATCCCTTGCACATCGAGGCACGTGCTGCAGTTTGAATACTCCTCAGTAGCCTTAGGGGATCTTCAGTTCTTTTCTGCAAAGTAAAAGTAAAGAAAGTCCAAAATAGTGACCTGCTTGGCTATGGTCTGCCCACGTGTTTCTCAGGTGTCAGGGACCAGCTGCATTATCACTGGATGGATGAGAGGTTTTCGTATGCTTGGATAATAACAGCTGTCTTTATTGACACCCCTGAACACGACTCTAAGCCTCACATCAATCCTGCAATGAAGATACTCTTTTCCTCTTTTTACAGATGGCAAAACTGAGGTTCAGAAAGGTTAAATCATTTTTCCAGGACCACACAGCCAGTACATGGCAAAGCCTGGATTTGAAACATGGCTAAAAGAAACACTATCCTTCATCATCAAATTTAGTCAGTTATTTCTTCAGTATAAGTAAGGTGGGGGGAGAAGGGGAACACAGTATTTTTATTAAATTACTAAGTGGAAACTGTGGAACCCATTACCAGCAAAATTAAGGTCATGTTCTGACTCCCTTTTTGTACCTCTTCACTACAGTTTACTGGAAAAGTACATTTTGAGAGTCAGCAATATTCATTATGAAAATATTTTTACCTACTTAGAAACTGAGGAATATTTGAGGCTGTTTAAAATTCTTTACACCTACGTAGGATTACTAAGGCTCTATTGGAAGAAAAAATGCATCTCCGTCCTATAGGACTGAAGTCACATTTGAGAACAGTTGATATATCTTTCATTAAAATCTATTGATCGTTCTAAAATAAACTCTACTCCCGATGGATTGAGTTTGGGATATGTATTGCTAAAAATCTCTCAGGGTTCAACGTGAGCCTTCAAAAATACTCTTGCCTCTAAAATTCCCAACCTTGCTAAACATTTTCTCCAGCTATTGTACATTGCTTTCTTTGGCTATAATATATATTAAGGTTTTCCAGTGGAAATATAATTGAGTCACATATATAATTTTAAATTTTTAGTAGCCACATCTTAAAAAGTAAAAAGAAACAGGTGAAATTAATTTCAAGGATGTTTTGTTTAACCCAGTATGTCTAGAATATTACCATTTCAACATAAAATCAATATAAAAATTATTAATGAGATACTTTTGGGTTGTCTTCAAAATTTATTGAGTATTTTGCCTTACAGTAGCATATCTCAATTTGATCCACCCACATTTCAAGTACTTAATAGTCAGGTGTTGCTAGTAGCTACATATGAGGCAGGGCTTATGTGTCTTTGCTGAGAAAAACATTGTATTATATAGAGAAAAAGGGAATACTTCAGAATATCTGTTCTTTATTTGACATTATTATTACAGAGATTGTCATGGTTTGTGGATTTGGGGGAGAGCTGGAGAAGCATAGAAGAATTAAGAAAATTAAATTTTATTTCAAAACCTGTGATTGGGTTTTATTGATGATACAGCATATTCATTAATTTTATAGATTATAGAAATGACAAGTTCGATTTTAGTCACTAATGGATTTCCTTTGATAGCATGGACAGTGTATATGATTAGAAGGTATTTAGTTTCAACAAAATTCAATTCAGTTCATCTTTGAGTATGTACTACTAACCATCTGTAGTCTCAAGAGAAGCTAATTGGAAGATCAGCTTCTCTTCAGAAAATTGCTTCAAAGGTTAAAAAAAATAAAACCTCAAATAGCTTTAAAAGAATTTTTTTTTTTGAACAGCCTTCTGTGTTTCCTCTGTGCTTAGGCTGTTCCCTCTGCCAAGAATGCCCTTTGCCTACTTCATTTTTTTTTTAAGTACTCTGTTTTTTTTTTTAGGTGTGCTTTTTGGTGAGGAAGATTGGCTCTGAGCTAACATCTGTTGCCAGTCTTCCTCTTATTTTATGTGGGATGCTGCCACAACGTGGCTTGACGAGCAGTGCTAGGTCCACGCCCAGGATCCAAACCTGCAAACCCTGAGCTGCCAAAGCAGAGTGCGTGAACTTAACCACTACGCCACTGAGCTGGCCCCTTTTTTTTTCTTTTAGGTACGCTTTTTGGTGAGGAAGATTGGCCCTGAGCTAACATCTGTTGCCAATCTTCCTCTCTTTTTTTTTTCTTCTCCCCAAAGCCCCAGTCCATAGTTGTACATCCTAGTTCTAAGTCCTTCTAGTTCTTCTATGTGGGATGCTGCCACAGCGTGGCTTGATGAGTGGTGTGTAGGTTCGCACCCAGGATCCAAACCCATGAACCCCAAGCCATTGAAGGAAGTGGTGCACACAAATTTAACTACCACACAACCAGGCCAGCCCCATAAAAATTTTGTATCACTTATTATAAGTAGTCTTAAGTATTGAGTTTCTTTATGTAAACATTTCCTCAAAGTTACTGGAAATTTATTGTGATATCTTTTTATTAAAGAAATATTGTTTTGGCCCTCTAGATAAATCATTACCTGAAAAGGGAATTTGAAAAAGATGAGAAGCCACGTGACAAGTCGTATCAGAATGCGGTTTTAGAAGATATTTTTAAGAAGAATGACCATGATGGTGATGGCTTCATTTCTTCCAAGGAATACAATGTATATCAACATGACGAACTATAGCATATTTCTATTTCTAAATATTTTTAGCTACTTACTGTACTTTATATGTAAAACAGTCACATTTCTCCAAGTTATATTTTCTCTTTTTCCCCCATGAGAACATATTTTGATCCCCTCAATACATGTAATTTGGGAATAATAAATGCGAGGCTATTTTGCAAATTTAACTTCCAAGAAAGGTATGATTGTGTTTCTGATTGCTTTATTCTGTTAACACAAAATGCAGCATCATGAAACAGACCTCTGTGTCCCCGTGAACAGTTTTCCCCCTTCAGGATATAGGAAGACATCTATGTCAAGATCTTCAAGCTCTTCCCAACTCTAACCTTAAATATGTAAATATCCAATTTTTAATATTTTCAATGTTACAATGCCCCATATTTTTAAAATATTCACTAGGGACCCAGGAATTAGCATTTCATTTGTTTATGCATTTCACAGCATTATGGATAGCAGGATATAAAAATCATGGGACTGAAGAGTCTTCCTTTGGTATGCATGCAGGAAAATATTAGTTGTGTAACTCTGTCCCCCAGAGAGCCTCAACACCGTCCGTAGTTTTTGCTGCAAGCTTCTGGCCTTGGGTATTTGTTCCAGTGGGGAATGTTTAAAGATATTTGATCAGACCAAAGACTTTATGCCTCATATAGCAGGCATAATAAAATCTATACTGCTGAGTCTTGTACTTCTTCAGACATCATTCTAAATAAGCTACTCTTCTTCCTTCTCATAGGCCTTTATGTCTACCAACCCTAACTTTTTGTCTTGATAGTTTTAAATAGATGCCATCGTATTTCTTAGTTTCCATTTCCCTTTCTCTAGGTGTCTCTATCCCATGTCACTTAATTTTACAATGTTCTCGTTATTAATCATGAATGAGTATTACAAACTGGTATGCCGTCAAATTTTTGATAAATGTGTAGAATTTATTTTACACATGAGGCTATGTGAGGATTCAAATGAGGATACAAATGAGGATATACAGTGCCATGGCAATTTTCTGTGATGGTCAAATCATGACATGGTCCAACTTGTTGAGAATAAGAGGTAAGAGATGCTGTAGGATATCATGTTGGCGCCAAAGAAAGGGCACATATTTATTGGACCATGTAAGATTTGGCCTACTGCATGTGTAAGAAAGTATGGTAAGGCAGTAAATAGCTCTGTTCAAAACAAGTGAGTCAAAACAAAGCTTTTCCATTTTCTGAAACTTGCTCTTCCAAATCATTTGTTAATTGTTCATCTTTTAACTGCTTTAGATATACTGCTAGAAATTCTGTTATTTAAAAGGGTGGGGGGGGGGGACACAAAACCCATGGGATTAGTGGATTTCACGTATGCACAGCACAGAATTTGACACTTCATGAAACAAAAACCTGTTCATCCCCCCAATATTTCTTCATTCCTATACCCAATTTTATAACTCCTCCTCACTTGCTCAATCATCAACTCTTTCATCCCTTTACGTTCCTCAGAAAAACCTGCCCAGCTGACATAAACTAAGTTGATAACTCAGTATTCTTATGTTTTGGTTTGGAAACTGCCCTCATTCTCTATATCCATACAAAAAAGTCACTAGAGCCTTCTTTTGATCAGTATACTCATATTGCATTTGAATCATATATGCTGCCCAAAACAAAAATACAGTGAAAAAAACAGATAAGGAAATTATTCTTTAAGAGAAACTATAAGTCTAACCTTTCCGTCCCATTTTCATACAAAGTGCTTTCAAACTTATGTTTTAAAAACCTATAGATGATATTAAATGAGAGATTTACTCTAAAACTCTAATAAACATTTAAATAATTAAAAAATAAAATTTTAATCATTCTAATACATAAAGTATACAGGTATTTTGTATTTACACAATTGCTTTATGCCTTCATAAGCATATACCTAATAGTGAGTGCTTTAAGTATACATTTTGAGTTCTAGAATTTCAACATACCATTTTTGCAATTATTTTAATAAGGGTGTACAGCAAATGAATAATTTTGGTTGTTTGTGTATGAAAAATTCAGATGTCTTACAGAGTAGATGAAAAAGATCTCCCAGAACTAAATATGTTAAATGTTTTAAACATTTTCAAAGGAGAAAAGAAATGTGTCCTAGCTGCCTTACCTTTAAAATGACAGTAGTGAGATTTATAAAAACAAAACTAGTAAGCATATGTACATCACAGAATGGCAGCCCATTACTACTATCAGTCACCCTGTTAACTCTGTACACAAAACCCCACGCTGAGCTCTGTGCTTTTAATTTGATACTCCAATTAAACATTTAGGATTACAGTAAATTATTAACACATTTTTCTCATTTTGCCAGACCTAGGGCAATAGTTAAAGCACCATAAAGTCGCCACTTGTGCACTCTTGCCATCCTTAAATGTTGAATTAAAGACCGATTAAAAATAAAATTGATATTTAGAAAATCTCTAGGGGCCGGCCCCGTGGCTGAGTAGTTAAGTTTGTGTGCTCCACTTTGGTGGCATAGGGTTTCGCTGGTTCGGATCCTGGGTGCGGACATGGCACCGCTCGTCAGGCCACACTGAGGCAGCGTCCCACGTGCCACAACCAGAAGGACCCACAACTAAAAATATACAACTATGTACTGGGGAGAGAAATCAGGAAAAAAAATCTCTATGTAAAGTTATCTAAAATGATAGACTAAATCCCAAAAACATTTCTGAAGTGACTGGCAGATTTTATGAAGGAACATCTATATTCTGAATTTTATATTTAAACCTTTTTATAATATATATAAACAATATCATCAGTCTTCATGACAATTTATGAGGTAGACACTATTATGATCTGCACTTTACAGATGAGGAGAATGATGCCCAGACAGGTTAATTTCTCTTTCTTCTCCCTTTTTAATTTGCCACAATTCATCAAAGTGAACCTCTGGAATTTTGGAAAAAGTGTGTGGCATAGTTGCACCTAAAACACCAGCAAGGTACATTCATTTTTCATTTTATTTCATTCTCTTGTGCCAGACATCAAAACAAGGAACTGCATGAAGTCTCACATACTTCTGCCCGTCGACAGAACACTGAAAGCACCCATAAACCGTCTCCCTTTTAAAGTTCCCCATTCCACAGAGTATGCAAGGTCCTTTTGGAATGTTGTGATTAAGTAAGTTAACTCGGATATGCGTCCCTTCTTTGAGTGAAATATCAGTCATGCGGAGAGGTTTGTCATAATAGTCAGAAAAAAGATCATCTAAGTAAAGCTGTGAGCGAGAAATGGCATCCATCACTCTTCTATCTAAAAGGACAAAAACAGAGAAATGTGTTAGAAGTCACAATAAAAAATGTATAACCAATCTGCATTTATAAACACTACATGAATCTAAACCATCAGGCAAGAAATTATGTGGCTTTTAAATTTAAATTTTTCCTTAACCGACAGGATTACTGAATAGATAACCTCAAGCGTTAATCAGAGAAGAAAAAAATATATTTGAAATACTCTTCAATGGACATACTTCTCTCAAATAGTATATTTCTCAATCTGTAGAGCAGTGCAAATGTTGCCGTTTCTTCCCTTTCAAATCCTCCTTTTGACACTGAAGTGACACAAAGGTCTATAAAAAAAAATTTTACAAGATGTTGTAACTTGAACAACTCATTTTATTGGGACTTTTAGTTGTAGTTGATAAATTCTAGTACATGCCATTCATTTTAAGTTAAATTTTACATATTTTTGGAAAAGGTAACATTCACATAATACAAAATGAAGAGTACAGAAAGGGAATACAATGACAAATAAATCGCTAGTCTACCCTGACCCTAGCCTCATTTTTCCACCCCCGAGGTAACAACTGTTAGGTTTCTTGTGTATTCTTCCAGAATTACTCCATATATTTTACAAGCATAAAGGAATACATGTGTATGAATGTACATATATAAAATTCTTTAGGCTCAAATAGTTACACACTGCGCACATTTCTTTAAAATGTCTCTTAGAGATTATGTCAGGATCTATAGTGCTACCTCATTCTTAATGGCTTCATAGTGGATGCACCGTTACTTAACTAGTTGCTGATAATAGATATCAAGCTTATTTCCAATTTTTTGCTATTATGAACTAAATATCCTTATACCCATATCATTTCACATATGTCTAAGTATATCTGTAGGATATCCTAAAAGTGTAAGTAAGGCTAAAGTATATGCACAGTTTAAATTTTGATGGATACATCAGTTCTATCAGTTTATACTCCTCCTAACAATCAATATAATTATAAAAACCTCCTACTGAAGTGTCCCAAATAAAAATTATCATGTGTTGTCTTGTTTCTGGTCTCCCTATTCCCTCCTCCTACAGAACTGCAGAAACAAAAACAGGTCTAAAAATGTTTATAAATGAGCACAGCTGGGGGGCTCCCTTGCCTAGTCCTTTGGGCTATCCCCAGCCTTGAGCTGACTGGCCTCCTAATCTTGAAGGCCTGTGAAAGGTAGAGATCTAGAGTGAGCTGCAAGGAGGTGTTATATAAGGCGACAATTTTAAAAGAAGCGTTTGTACTTTTAAAGTTATTTTCTAGGGAGAGTTGGGAAGCTGGGTCTATGACAGGTAAAACTGAAGAAGAGTTGTCTTTGTGTACCCTAGTTTGGGCATCCTGATACCTTCAAGCATCTTACTGTCTACCTACTCCTCTATTTGCCATCATCAAAAACTACATATTAGAAGGTCATTTATTATCTCCCGGTGTAAGTCAAGGAACACTTTGTCAGTGGATTGCATTTTAGCTCTTATCTATTATTGTAAGTCGGGTATCACCAAGAAGCAGGAAAGAGGTATTGGGTAAGTAGGGACCAGAGGGTCTTTCCCAGCTACTTCGCCCAAGCATAAGATTGACAGCTGACAGCATCATTCTTCTATATTTAGACACTCAGAGAGAGAGGGTTTCCCATTAAATTCTTCTTAAAAATATAATCATTTCAGTGTTTCATGCAAATCATTCACTCACCAAAGGCACCATCCAAGTAAATGAAGAGTTCAAAAACACTGAAAGCTATGGTTGTGTGTGCTGGAAAAACAATAGCTTTGTCCCTTCCCTTGGGATTCTGTTCATCCATAAAATGAAACTATATTAAATAAATAAATTAAATAACATTATTAAGGAGCATAACATGTAAGGATAGCTTTATGGAGAAACAAAATATTTCCTACAATCCCACCAAAAAAACACTACTCCAAAAATTATCCTATTTGAATTAAACAGTTTATAGCAGAGGCCCAAATGATCCAGTGGGGACCCATGATCTATATTAGGAAACACCACTCACCACTTCCTCACTTACTTTGGTATCGGAGTCAATGATTAGTGCTACCACAACAGTAATGTTCTCTGGCATTTTTCTTTCAACTGCAAACTAATTGAGTCTAAGTGCTACAGTTGTTTTTCGCCTACCTTGTCTACTGTTCCAAAGCCCCCAGAGCTTTCAGCAACTTTCCAAAGCAACCATCAACTTATTTTCCAAAGCAATCACCAACAATTAAGTAAATGTTTCAGTTTGTGCCCTCAAAATGATCCAATGTTAAACAATTTGGTGGGCAGCTAAATGTAGCCACTGAACAGAACCTCTATTTGCAAAGACTTAAAAAGATGATCACTAAGCCCTATCTTTCTAGCAATTGGTTTTAATAAAACCAATCAATTCATTATTATGTGTCATTATTATGTGAATGACAAGGACTAATAGTATCATCATCAAGCTAAAAATTAAACAAATAACTTTCAAGATTTTTTAAAAAAGATTTAACATTGAATGAAGCATCTTTGTCATTGACAATATTGTTTTAGGAAAATTGATTTAATTAAAAAACCCACAATGAAGAATATACAACTCTGTACCGGGGGGCTTTGGGGAGAAAAAGGAAAAAATAAAATCTTTAAAAAAAAATATATATATATATATATAAATTCAACTTAAAAAATTCAAGTATAAACAAAAAATCACTTAAAAATAAAGTCAAAGAATTTAATATAAGCATTCAATTTTTATTCTTAAAATGCATTTAAACTGTAATAGGAGGGACTCCAATACACACATTATTTCACAATGATTCGTGTTTTGTTTGCATTATACTACACGTTTAGAATCCATACTTTCTTGGATTTTTTTCATATTCTAAAACCATTATTGTGCAAAATCCTGTAAAGAACTGCAGCTCTTTACTCTCAACATCTGACAAAATACACGTCTCATTAGAAATTGAATACTTTGTAAAAATTCCCATTGCAGTTTTTTAGTAAGAGAAGCCTAATGAGTGTGGTTTACCCGCATGGCTTCCCCACGAATGCCAGCATGCACAGACAGCGAGCACTGTCGTGTGGTTCGAATGCTTTCCATGACCACGCACAGTACAGCCTTTCTGCTGTTCCTTGACTGACGTATCAAGCTGTGGTCAAAATTAATTTTTCTAAAATAAAGAAGAGAGACATTCACAAAAATCTGTAACATCTAATTACATATAATCAAACACATTCTTTGCAATCAGGTGTTATTCATTCACAGTCCACCTTAACTCAAAGTAAATCCAGGCGGGCCTAATACAAATCAGAAAGAATGCTCAAAACAACTTGAATAATCTGCTTCTCCTTTCTATTTTCTTAAAACATGCTTCTTACAGGAGTATGTTGGAGAAGACTCTTAGATTTGTTGCAAACAGATTCCTATATTCTTTTAATCTAATAATTTAGCAAATGTGTGTAGAGCCAAAGTGATTTTGTGGAACAATTAAAAATCCTGTTTAAAACCAAATGATTTTGGATATCTACCAAAGTTTGGATATATTACTAATTCGTAGTATTTCAAACAAATCAAATAAATTACACTAGTAAAAATATAACCTGAATGTTTTAAGCATTCTTTGTAATGAAGTTTATGTAATCAAAATATCTAATGAAAATAGTGAAGTATATTAAGGATTATTATACTGACCGTGTAGTAATTTCCTTGAGTAATGTCGATACTTCCACTTCATGTTTGGTTACTATACCAAATGAAGCTTTTACCGCAATGGAATCTGATCCAGCAACGTTAATCCCAACGTCATTCACAATATGGTTGCCTCGCCTTCCATAGAGTGAAACATCTGATTCATCTTCATAATTCAGTAACTGATAAGATGAAATACCTTTAAGAATGGAAATTAATACTTTTTAAATGTCTTGAATTCATCTAATGTAGATTATATATATTAGCACTTTACTTTACTATTTAAGACTCAATTACCCAAATATTGAGAAAGGCAACATATCAAACCAAGATTAAAAACAGCAATTCAATTAATTTGACTGCAAGAAGAAATAAATAGCCAGAGTACTTAAAATGAACTCAAATTATCTGTTTGGCCAACAGAACTTCTTAAGCATCAAGATCCACTGGGCGGTTGAAAGAAAAGTTGAAAGAAAAGGTTGAAAGAAAAAATTACAAGAAATAATTTGTCAAATGTCAATTTAATCCGGCCTGCAATTCATTTCAGTTTACCAATTGTAATAACCGAATCATAAAAAAATATAAATTACTTTCATCTCATTTGACCATGTGAGATAGGTAAGAGCCAACAATACGCCATTTTATAGACGAAGAAATATATTATGTCATGTTCTAAGTTGATTTGGTTAAAACAATTTACAAAATAATTAAAATAAGATTAGGCAATAATCTTATAAAATAGGTTTGAAAATTATTCAATTAATGAGATTTGATATTATATAAACTACAGGCATTATTCATCTAATAATATTATTACTGCCATAGTAATAAAAATTACTTTTATCAATGAAAATGTGTAAATATTACAAGCATAAGTAGTATAAACAATCTATGTTTAGATTACCAATAATGTAGCTAAATGAGTAGTCACTCCCAAACAGACATTTAAACTTACCAGCTGAAATTTCTCTGTCTCCTAGAAGAACATCTTTCAGTGTAAAAGGTGTTGAGGTAAACTTGTATCTAGGAAACAGAAAGCATCGCTTCTTTTTCACGACCAGACTTAGAGGTTGGTATTTGTCAGCCTCACTGAGGCTTGGAACAGGAACTAATCTCCCTCCATCTCCAACTTGTTTGACAAAGCTCTTGGTAGCAGCCGCAAACATATTAAATAGTACTAAAACATCATCAACTGCAACCCTCAGATAAGAAATCCATATTTTCAAAGAACATCAGGCACAAAACTAAGCCTTGCTTGATTTTAAATATAATTATACATGTTAAAAATACAAAGCATAGCTTCATCAAGTAGTTTACCAGCGTGCAATTCACAACACTGCCTCCCCTGGTGTGCTCAGGTAATGAATTATAGATCAACCATGTAAAATGATACACTAAAAGCAAGTCTAATTTGGAATTGCAGTCTATAGCACTAAAATATACACAGAAAGCTAGTAATTATAAAATACTACCAATGTCTTTGATGAAGGTCACAGTTGATAGCGGTTTGTCAGTTTTGCTGGAAGCATATAGCCCTCTGGGAACAATGCCATTTAGGTACTAACATTACCGCTGGACACCATCTACTGTGGACCTAGTCCAAAGGGAACTCCTTCACAAGTGCATCATGCCAATTTTGGCAACAGAAAAGTGCTGTTTTGAATTCTTTTGGTACACAGTTCATTGTTCGAGCATTTCATTAGTTTTTCTTGTATCCTTACAAAACCAAGTGAATAATATAAAACATAAATTCACAGAATATAAGGAAACAATTATATGCAGATCTTTATAAAATACCAAATGAAAGCCACATTACATATAAATAAGTGTATCCTGACACGTAGGTTTCTTACTTAGAAGCTGGCACATAGACAATATCTCTTTGAAGTGGGGTCCTGCTGCATTTATTTTCTTTCTGTTTCATCACATTATTCCAGTTAACCAACCTTTAAAGAGTTATATACAGCTTTGGCTTGTTTTTAAAGGAATTTTGTAGCTAAAAATAAATTTTAGAAACAAATTTGAATGCTGAAATGTATTTCATAGTTATGTGGATGTTAATCTATTGTGAAATAGTGGCTATGTGGTACTTAGGATAAGATATTCATTAAAACAACATTAGTAGATAGTACTTGATATACATACACATATAGAGGCGGTAGGGGAAAGAAGAGAGAATAGGCTTAATTCGAGCTTCAAATACTATAAATCAATTTTATGGGATTCTAGACAATTTTTTTCACTTGCTTTCAAGCATCCAGGGCTCACATGCAACCAAAAGATAAGCTTTTAATAATATTCCTTCCTGCAAATACTATTGTGCAAAACAATCTTCCAGAACACCGAGAAAGCACACCGAGTAATTTCTCCAAGTGGCTAGTAAACTCCTAGAGAAGCGGTACATCTCTTGTCGCTGTCTGACCCCATCAAAGGTGGTGCATCCCAGGCAAACGCCATTACAACCAACACAGGTGTGCAGAAAGAGCATTTAATTGGAATCCAGTCCACAGGAAGATTTCGTTTACACCCAACGTGTCTTGTTGGGATCTGCTGGCCCTGCATTCGTCTCGCGACGAAAGCCTAGAAGACAATGGAGCCCACGCCGCAGAAGGGGGGGGGGGGCGGTTCTGAGGACGTCCCCGCGAGCTCCCAAAGGCAACGTGGGCACCGGAAGAGCCCCCCGCAGCCCACAGGAGCGGATATTCCGCGAGTCTCAAGCTTCGGGGCCAGGCCCGGGGAGGCTCTCCAGCAATTTTGCATTTGGAATTTTCAAATCTTTTTCTTAAAGTGACGCAACCCTCATCCATCCCCCTATCTCCCCCGCCAAAAAAAAAGGCTGAGCTTCAGGCCTTACAGACTCTGTGAGGCTTGCCTGCCGGACAAGCCTCTCCGGGCAGGAAATAACCTCCGTATAAAGACACAGAACTGCGGCCTGGCGCTGCTGGCCGCCCAGAAGCCGGGGGCCGAAGGCGGGGCACGGGCTGGACCTCCCGAGAGCCCGGGCTTCGAGGGGCAGGACCTGGAGGGGGTGGGCGGGGCTGGCGCCGAGGGGACCGGGAGCGGGTGGGCGGGGCTGGGCCTGGAGAAGGGCACGGAGCCCGGGCCGCGAGGGGGCGTGGCCGGGAGCCGGGCCGGCGCTGCCACACCGAGGCTCCGCCTCCGCCCCCGCCCGTCCCCTTCGCAGGAGGGACGCAAGCTGAGAGGAGAGGGGGAGTGGAAGGAGGGGAGGCGGCGGCGGTGGCGACGCTGGAGCTCTCCGCTCGGGGACCGGCCGACCCGGGGAGCGAGGACGTCGCTCCGCACCGCTCTTCCTCCGGCCGCCGAGCCGTCCCTTCTCGCCATGTCCCAGAGCAGGCATCGCGCCGCGGCCCCGCCGCTGGAGCGCGAGGACAGCGGGACCTTCAGGTCAGCGCCCGGGCAGTGGAGGCCGAGACGGCAGGGCCGGGAGCGGTGGGCAGGAGAGGCGGGGGCGGGGGAGCCGGCTTCCCAGCTGCATTCTGGGTAAAGCCCCTTCCCGGCGCCGTCGCCCCCGCGGCTGCAGGCGGACCGGCGGGCGCTCGGCCCCGCCCTCTCGGCGGTGCGCGGGCCGGGGTCTGCGGCCTGGCCCCGCCCCTCCTGCGGCCGCGGGCGGTGGGCAGGGTGGGCGGAGGTGGCGCGCGGCCGCCACCCTCGGAAGGTATTTGTGGGCTTGGTCTGGAGAGGTTGCAGCTCCAGTGTCCGCTCTGGTCCCCTGCGAATGCTTCCTGCTGGTATTCAAGTTATCTCCCTACAGACCTCCCTCCCCCTACCTGCCCCTGCCCGCCCCTGCCCGGGGCCCACTGCAGCGGGGCCGGGAGATTGGCGCGCCTCGCCGGCCCTGGCACTGGCTGCCGGGGACCTTCGGCGCCTCCCGCGTCACCGTTGGTGGCGGTCAAAACTAGCCTCTGTATGCTTCTGCCTCCCTTCCCGCTTTGGCATGCAAAGCACACCTTTTTCTGTTTTTTGCAGTTTGGGCAAGATGATTACAGCTAAGCCAGGGAAAACACCGATTCAGGTATTACACGAATACGGCATGAAGACCAAGAACATCCCGGTTTATGAATGTGAAAGATCGGATGTGCAAATACACGTGCCCACTTTCACCTTCAGAGTAACAGTTGGTGACATAACGTGCACAGGTCTGTATGCGCAGTTAACCCAGATGACCAGGGGGGTTGGCCGGCAAGACTTGGTATTGCTTTTCAATTCGGAAAAGTGCTGTTTTTACCGGAGACAGCTGTGAGGAGCAGGCTCTTGAAACTGAGACCTCTCATCTCAGGTCATTGAAACTTTGCAAGTTCATCTGATTCTTTCCCTAATTTTCTCTTCCCCAGATACCAAGAGAAGCTCACAAACATACCTTAGGATTCTCCTAGGATTCTTCCAAGAATTAGGGAGAAGCAGGAAGGTTCTAGGAGCAGTCATAGCTGCATCAGTAGGTGCTGTCCACTTTCATAGATTATAGCAGATGCCAGGAGTCATAACCTCAGAATTTTTGGAGCCTCTACTGTCTAGGTACGGACTCATTTGGCGCTTTGGGCCCGTTGTACCACACTCGATTCTGTATCCAAGCAAAATGAGGAAGGCAGAAGGCTCGAATACACTGTATCGCATAGCAGCTTCTAGATCCTGACTCTGTACAGATATTTTAATAAGATGTTATCTCCTTTTTTATACATGAGAAGACAGGTTGAGAGAGATTTTAAGTAGTGTGCCCAGAGTCACATGGCATCGACGTTTCACAATTCAGATTCAGCTTTATTATGGTCTGTGAACTTGAGCAAATGATAACTGAAGTTGCCCATTTGTAGATTTAGAAATTTTATTTCTTATGTATCTTATTTAATTGAAACATAAAAAATACTGAATACTAAATTTAATTTGGAATAATACCAAGAAGAAAATTCAGTAGGAAGGCTGAAGTTCTACCATCTGGTAATCTGAAGCTATCATTTGTTTGTGTCCCTGAAAATCTGGAGTCCGCTATTTTCATAGAAGCCACTTGAAAATTTTGAAGCTTTTTTGTCTATATGAGTTAGGTGGATTGTAGGTGCTAGCTGGAAGATCCCTCATATGAACTATAGAATCAACATTGCATTAGTGCTTTATCTGGTCTATTTTTAAATATTTAGTGAAAATTCAAGAAGTAGTAGCCTTTTTTCCCTCAGTGTGTTTTAGATCGGAGGTTAACAACCTGTAACAACTGTTCTGCCTAGGTAGGCCCCCACCTTTTCTCATGCTGCCCTGTCTTGTTCAAGCTTATCTGCCTCCACATCTTCAGATACTATCTAAAAGGCTGAATTCTGAAGTCTCTATCTTCAGCCCAGGCCCACTTAAAGAACAGTGTGTCAGCCTGTGCTTGCTGGACATCTTCACTTGGGTGACCGGAAGTCACCTCAGTCTCTTATTGTCCCAAACTGAATCCATCTTCTTCTTTCTCACATCCATTCCCCCTGCATTCCCTAGCCCAGGAAAGCCACCACCATCACTGATTTGCTCACAGTAGAAATCTTGGTTTCATCTTCTTGACTCCTTCCCCTTGTCCAGACTGTCACCAAGCCCTACTTCCTAAATATCTCTTAAACCTGTCTGCTTCTCTCATCTCCCCATTGCTACTGTCCGGGCCACTGCCATCTCCCACTTGGGTTATAGCTACAGTCTTGTAGCTGCTCTTTCAGCTTCTAGTCTTGTGATGTCCATTCTCTACGGGCCAACCAGAGTGTTCTCTCTGGCATTCACATCTGTTCATGTTATTTCCTTTGCTTAAAATCCAGTCATTGGTTTCCCCATCAACCTCTGGATAAATGCAAATTTCTTAGTATGACTTAGAACCTTGCTTCTCAAAATGTGATCAGCAGCAGGATTGATATCCCCTGGGCACTTGATGGGAATGCAGAATATCAGGCCCCATGCCAGACATGCTGGATCAGAGTTTGCCTTTTAACAAAATTCCTGGGCATTTCCTATGCACATTAAATTTTAGAAACAAATTTAAGAGACTATTCCTTGAGCTCTCCCTCTCCCCTCCAACTCTCTAGCCTTTTGTCTCAAAATTCCTCCCCTTGGGCTCTTACTGTACCCATCTACTTGGGGCCCTTGAGCACATCCTGTCCTGTGTTACCTCTTTGCAGGTGTGTTTTCTCTGCCTAGAATGCTGTTCCTAACCCCCCGCTCTCTTCACCCTGCTAGCTTTAACTGATGTTTCAGGTCTCCATTCAGCTATCTCTTCCTTCATGAAACCTTTCTGAACCCTTCCCAAGAGTTGGGAGCTGCCCCTTTTGTGTGCCTCCTGCAGCCTGCACTGAGGCGTGTCGTAACACATACCATTCCATATTTCAGATGCCTGTTTACAGACGAAATCCCTCCCTGGGTTGTGTGCTTTTTAAGGGCAGGCAGTCTGTTTAGTTCTCCAATGTATGCTTAACACCTGTGTTAGTGGATGAATAAGTATTGTTTGTGTGTCCTCTGACTCTTGAGGATCACACTTGAAATTTGTTCCGTGTCCCATTTCTTTCCTCCACACCAGAGGAATGGACAGCAGCATTCTGATAACAGTTTCAGAGGGTCTCAACACCTAGTTTGAACTCAGAAGAAAAAAGATTGAATTCACCATTTACCAGGTGTGATTGCTTTCTAAAGTTAGGCATCAGTCTCGTGATTAGTCAGGCCTGTCCCCTGCTGCCCCCTTAGCTACCCTTGTAAGGGATACAGATATAGGGAAGACACGTAACATAAGCTCTGACCTTCTTCCCTATATAAACTTCTCCCAGTATACCCAGCATGTGGCCATGACTGCTTAGCCAATCAGAGGGGTTAATCCAGTAGAGGATGGACTGTTGGAATAAATTTCGGCACATTCTACTGTCAGACAGTGTTGCTGTAAGTGGCTTCCTTAAAGGAGACTTCTTGCTACAGAATTTCTTCTAGAGTTAAATACTAAGTTGCATTTGTTCGGAAGGTGTGACATGGTCTACTTTATTACCATTTTATGTAATAAACATATATAATGTAGATAAGGATCTTTTATACCGGTATGTGCAGAGTTAAATACATAGAACTTCTGAAATCATTTTTAATATGTTAATTTCTTGTGAATATTTTATTACAGTGAATAACTGTATATAGTATATGTTTTTATTACTTAGTGTGTATGTATAAAACCTGTCGTGACTTTATTTTGTATTATGAAAACCGTTATGTGCAAGCCTCACATTTTCACAGGGTATAAAGATTTTTTTTTAATCTTAATTCAGGTGAAGGTACAAGTAAGAAGCTGGCGAAACATAGAGCTGCAGAGGCTGCCATAAACATTTTGAAAGCCAATGCAAGTATTTGGTGAGCTAAACTTTTTTGTATTCTGCAGCTCAAAAATATCTTGGCTGAGGTAAGATTAAAAGTTTAAACATGCTCACAAAAGCAAGAAAGTGAACAATCATTAGTATCTAGCTCGAAAATTCTACTTCCTGTAAAAACCTGTCATCCATTAAAGACAACTTTATCCTTAAGAAATTAAATCCAGTAAGTAACTATTAAATGAAGGTTTTTATGAACTAGGCATTGTTTTTTCCAGATGGGGTGCAACAGTAGAAAACCAGAGTTTTTCTGGCAAATATCTTACTGTATTAAGACTTTAATTATTTCTACACTAAAGAGAACAAGGTGGAAAAAGATCAGCTAAAAGTACTCTTATAGGAATTCCAATTTGGAAGGAGACAAAGAGATTTCCTTGTATTATAGAATGTATACCAAATACAGAGGATCTTAAGTGGGGTGTTAATTCTTGACATATCTTTCCAAAATAAATTTGTTGTCACTCTAGGCGCTTTTGGAAAGAGAGTTGGTCCTGGAGCAACTCATGCACCATGAAGCATTGTCCTTTGGTTTCTGATGAGCACACCCTGCAGCGTGGTGTGCCTTCAAATTCTTCTTTACGTGCACTCAGATATACTTGGAATGTAATCTGGTATAATCTGCTCATAGCTGACAGCAGAAGCCCATGGGAATTGAGGGTGGTTTTTTTGTTCCCCATCCATAGCAAAACTTTTGGCTTAGAGATGTATTTAGGCTTGCATGCAGTGCTCCTCCTTTCTAAGTCATTCTAAACCATTTGGGTGGTTTGGAACTAACCAGTGACAAGCCTTGGATCTTACAAAATGATGCTTGATTCTTTATGGTCATACATTATAATTGATTTATGCTAGCTTTCTAGGCATGCCAAATGGCATGGCAGGTATTGGTTTTTCCTCTCACCGTTGATGGCCGTGCTATTTCTGTGCAGCCCAAAGGTCAACCCATAGTGTTGAGTATATTCATAGAAATGAGTGTACGGAGTGTCCTTTCTGCACCTGGGCACTTCACTTTGTCAGCAAAAAACGCTAACAAACTTTACTATATATTTGTGCTTCTTGACAGATAAGATGGGGATTACTAAGCTGTAATCAGGCCTAAAGTGGCCTGATTTAATACAGAGACTTTCTCACTTCTCCATCACAATTATTTGGGTAGCTTCGGCGTGTGCATTGTAAGTGAATATTTGTACCTCGTCAGCCTATGTAAAGCGTGAAATTCTGGCAGTTAGGAAACAAACTTAAATCAGGTGGCCATAAGTAAACCTCATTTGTCATGGGAGAAATGACTCTGCAGTGGTCCAGCTGTAGGTAACCTTTTTCTGCAGCTTATTCAGTGTTAGGCACCTCTCACCCAAGAAACTAGTAATTTCGGACTGCTTGCAAGAGATTGTTCTCTTTTTCCCTGATCACGATTCCCACTTGCTGAAACCAGATTCATGCAGGCCATCTATTTTATGCGGGATGCGTATAAATCTTGGGAGGATTATTCTAGCATAGAGCAGATGATAAGTCAACAGATCTTTCTTCCATAATTCTCTGGATGAGAAAACAACATTTAGGATCTCTGTCATTCACATTGCCAGGCTAAATTTCCTGACTAATAGTCATTCTTCCCTTTTCGTGTAATTGTAACAGTAGTATATTTTATTTAAATACATTTTTATTGAGCACCTATTATATACAAAGCACTACAAGGTTTATGAAGGTAAGTAAGACAGGCCCTACCGTCAAGGATTTTACAGTCTGAACAGGGGAGAGGTATGGTGAGGGATGGACAAATTATGTGTATTTGTAAGAGTGTATAATTTATGGTAAAATAATTTGCTTGAGAAAGAGTCAAACCAAATGTTATAATGGTTCAAAAGAGCGAGTAATTATGTTCCATTGGGGTAAAAGGATAGGTTTCTTAGAGAAAGTAGCATTTGAGATATACCTTGGCTGATGAGTAGATCAGATTCTCATAGAAGGTGGGGCGGAGAGGGGCATCTCATGTAGAAGGAACAAGAGCAAAGGCATAGAGGGTTAAATAGAAAACCTTGTCATTTATTTAATAATCTGGGGGAAATTATTTGGTTTTATAACACTTTAAAACAATGTTTAGCTTTGCAGTTCCTGACCCCTTAATGCCTGACCCTTCCAAGCAACCAAAGAACCAGCTTAATCCCATTGGTTCACTACAAGTAAGTCGCACAGTTTTTCCATACTTAACATTTTGTCTACTGAAGAAAGATGTCATAAATTGATGATATTATAGGGGCTAAGACAAGGAATTAATATTTTAAAGATAAGGTGGTGTAATATTTTGTTTTCCAAGTTATGATCATTAGATATTACAGCACTAACTTGAAGTTATTTTCCTGTTTATTTACGTTTTGGATTTTCTTCCATGTACAGTATCTGCCTTTGGTTTGTGGAATTCTCATTTGAGATCAACAGGACCTCAGTGCACATGGGTAGAGTGTTTTATACTTTAAGAATATTTCTTGCCACTCTTGTGACAAACCTCTTTCTACTTCTGTTGAGACAGAAGACTTTATAAAGAACCCAAATTGGGTAACCTAACTCAAGAAAAGGGAAGTAGTCTTTTTGTTTATTCTACCAGAAAGAAATATATTCAGCTTTGAATTTCTGTATGCAGAATATCCTTCTTGCAGATTATCCATGTGCTCTGTTGGACAGCTCACCTCCCCGTCATCCAGTCCCTTGGTCTCTTTCCTGCTCTGTGAGATTGTCTGTAGTTTTCTTCCCCTTCTTTCCTCAACCTCGTCCAGGTCTGTTTGTGTGCTGTGTCTGCTCCTCGTCTGCTCTTCATCGAATGCAGTAGTTAGCCAGCTATGGGGATGGAAGTCTGTAGCTAGGAGGGGAGAGGCTTTAGGAACTGATGGCAGTGAGACCTATAGATGTCCTCTGTGATGTTCCCAAAGGGGACGACAGTAGCTTGTCTTTCTGTTTTAACTCTTTGATATCCGCTCACTGTAGCTTAAGGAAAGAACACCATTCATGGCAGGATTGCTTCAGTTTTGGTGTTGTGGGCTTATGAGATCTAAAATGTAGGAATATCTATGGGAAATATAGGGTGTTCTCTCATTTTTCCCTTGCAGAATCTCATTATTCTTTTCAAACATATAAATAAAAATGGGATCAAAATCATGAAAGAATATCATTTATGTGATTGAGCCATTGCATAGTAAAAATTACTGCTAACGCCTCATCTCGATTTTTTAGGAATTGGCTATTCATCATGGCTGGAGACTTCCTGAGTATACCCTTTCCCAGGAGGGAGGACCTGCTCATAAGAGAGAATATACCACAATTTGCAGGCTAGAGTCATTTATGGAAACTGGTACTTATTTCTTTTTACCCTCATACAACTGAAGACATTTGAAGTATTTTCAGATGATAAATGCCCATAGAAATGTCTGTCATGATTCTTTTCACATATTCCTGTGGGGGAAAAAATTGATACACTCCTGTTTTACTGTCTCTAACTTTCTGCAATTGAATTTAAGTATAAATATTTAGCTTAAGAATACTTATACTTCTTAGTTTGATATTTTAAGAAATCATGGATAGACAAAATAAGTAATTAACTCTTTAAACAGTCTTCATTGATATATTAGTGACTTAAAAAAACTCATTTTGGAGAAAAAAAGCAACAGTAAGAGGACTAAAAGAAGATTATGTTTGAAAACAAGATGATTAAAAAGAGACTGGATCGCAAGAAAATTTCAGTGATATAAAAATAAAGTAGAAATTATCCTTTTGAATTATAGTGACATCTATGTTGTAAAGGCCAATACTGTGAGAAAAAAGTCAGTAAAGTATTAGAGAGCATTCCTGTTGTAACTTCTCTAGCATGTTTTTATCATTTTTAAAGTGGCTCGAGATGGAGTTTTACCTTGGTGTTAGATGTTAGTTTCAAGTAATAAGCAACTCTTTGCCCTGAAGCGGTAGTGTGGGCCAGTGCAGAAAGCAGCACAGAGCTCTGCTTCTGTTCCCAGTGTAATCCTTGGTTTGCAGGGTTAGGCAAATTACTTCATCTCCTTGGGTCTCAGTTTTTAAATCTGGAAAACAAAAACATGGAAGTAGATGATATTTCTGGTGTCTTTCAATTACAGCATCGCCTATGCCCTTCGTATTCCTATTAAAGAAAGAAATTCCACATAGGTGTCAGTTTATGGGAGATTGTACGCAGGAAATAGACATTGAGAGATAGGAGTTGTAATTCAGATGGACCTTGATAAGCTTGAATATTTGGGCAGAATTAAACCAAGTATGTTTATTAAAGCTAGGCATAGGGAAATATAACTGTGAAAGTGTAACTATTAAAGATAAACTGTTAAAGAAAAGAAATACCTTCAAAAATGTCAGAATTAATAGCTGTCTGAAGCACAACAAGTGAAGATATCAGATCAGACAAAGAATAGTCTGGTGTATAAAAGCCATGAGGTTGTTCTTTGATTAAACACAATATTTTAGACATTTGATCATCCTCTACAGACACTAGTTTCTTTTCTAAATTGACCATTTCTTTTTCTTTCTTTAGGAAAGGGAGCATCAAAAAAACAAGCCAAGAGAAATGCTGCTGAGAAATTTCTTGCTAAATTCAGTAATATTTCTCCAGAGAACCACATTTCTTTAGTGAGTAATGATCAGACAGCTATGATGTTAATGCAATAAGTACCTCTTGCCGTAGGAAACTTTCCTTGATTTCTTACTGTATAGATACTTCAGAGTTGCAATTTTTAAAAATCTCTTCATTGTTCAGTTATACACCACCCCAATTTTAGCAGCTTGCTGTATATGAGCCAGGGTCACAGAGGTGACCAGTCAAGAGAGCTTGGGAGACACAGTCAAGTTCAGAAAAACATGATGGGATCTACACAGGATAAGCCAGTAGTGCCAAATGTGCCTTCAGGTTGATGGTGCTTTTCCATCCCTTTATTCACTCATTCATGTATCCGCTGAGCAAACATGTAATGAGCTCATACTGTGTGCCAAGCTTTGTGCCAGGTACTGGCATATGGTAAATAAGACAGTCTCTGCCCTTAAGGAGTTTGTAGCCTGCCGAAAGAGCAAAGAACCCCACAGGCTGGTCCTTACAGAGGGTGCTTGGGAACACAGGAGAAGGATCCAACCAAGATGGGGGGTTTGGGTGGGGAAGGCTTCCTGGGGGAAGTAATATGTAAGCCAGAATCTGTAGGATGAGAACAGAGGGAAAGAATTGCAGAGAGAAGAAAGAGCATGTGCAAAGACCAGGAGTGGAACATCGTATGCAGTCTAGGAACCCTAAGTAATTAGATATGACTAGAACGTAGAGTTGGAGGGAGCCAGTCTCAAACAGTGAATCCAGAAGGGTAAAGAGAGATTAAATCTCTGAGGGACTGCTCTGTTAAGGACATTGAACTTTGTCCTGAAGGTACTGCAAAGTCCTTAAAGAATTTTAATCTGGGAAGGACAGGGTCTAATTGATACATTAGAAAGGAAATCACTGGCTGCATTATGGTGATTGAATGAATATTAGAATCAGATCGATCTGCCAGAATGCTGTTATGGAAAGCAGATGAGAAATGATGATGGCCTATACTAACGTAGTGACAGTTCAAATGATATATTTAAAAATTATTTATAAAACTTTAGTACATGGGGTATGGTAATTGACTGGATGTAGGGAGTAAGGGAAAAGGAGGAAATAAATATTTTTAGCTTGGCAAATGAGTAGATGGTGATACCATTCAATAATAGAGAGAACACAGAAGATGAGTAGGATTTGAGGGGGAACAGATAATGAACTAAATGTAGGATATATTGAATTTGAAGTATTTATGGAATCTCTAAGTGGAGATAATTGAGTAGGCAGTGGGGCCTACTCAATAGTATAGAGCTTAAAAGATTGGGCTACACATGATGTATTGGGATTCTGATTTTCGTAGATAGGTATGTCTTGCGGTGCCTTATCTGAGAATAGTATATTAGGTGGGAAGTGAGAAGTGAGGACTATAGCAGTGTCCTAAGTTTATGATAAAATAAGGGCGTATTCTGTAGACAAAATATCAAAGACAATATGCAAATAATATAGTTTTTGTTGTACTTTTTTTAATAGAGAAATACAAAACATTGCGTTCGCTTCTTTTAAAATTGGATCAGAGATGACACCAAAATCCCAAAGCACAAGTAGGTTTGCAGGTGAATTCTGTTAAATCTTCAAGGAAGAGAGAATTTCCAATGCCATTTAAACTCTTCCCAGGAACATATATAACATAGGGGAAGCTGCTGTGTTTGTTTTCCAAAACCAACATAACACTAACACCAAAACCTGACAGTAGCAAATCCCAATGGAAAAAACTGTGGATTAATCCTTATCTCCCTTATGGTGAAACACCTGAATAAAACAGTCAGTAGAATATTAAACGAATAATATACTTTAGACAAATAGAGTTTATTTCAGGAATGCAAGAATATTTCAAGGTTAGTAAATCTTTTACTATAATTAACCACATTAATGGGTCAAAAGAGAAAAACATATAATCCTCTCAGTGGATGCCAGAAAGATATTTGACAGTCATTACTGATAAGCACTTTAAAGATATCCCTATTGTGATCGAACACATCTACCTCAAGAAACTCAAAATCATGGTTACATATTTACATATTGCAACCATTCCCATTAATTTCAGACCTAAGACAAGGATGCCCACTGACACCGTTTTTTTTAACCTTGTTCTAGAAGTACCATCCAGGATAGTTAGACAAGAGAAAACAATAAGAGGTTAGAAATAAGAAAGGAGGAGAGAAAAATTATCATTAACTACAAATAATATGATTATATCCCTGTAAAACCCTGGAGAAATACTACTATAAATAAGAGACTTGATCAAGGTAACTGGTCATAAAATTAATATACAAAACCAATAGCTTTCTCATGTTATTTAGAGTTATGAAGGTAACTACCAGGATAATTAAAAATAGAAAGTTAAAAATTATTGCTTCTGGAAAGGGGACTGAAGGTAGGTATGGAGTGAGGCTGGAATTTGTTGCTTTTATAGTTCTCTGCTATTTGATTTTTTGTTGTATGTGTGTATTACTTTAACAAAATTTATGAAGCTTGATAACATGGGTCATTTTATGGCAAAATAGAAAATCTATCTTGAAAAAGTATACTGGGAAAAGATCAGTAGTTTTCCTACTTATAAATATTAAGAGGTATAATATAGAAGATCCCGTTTTCAATAGTAGAAAGGAGGAAAATATGTCTGGGAGTAAACTTAAAAAGAAATGTGTGGGACCCACATGAGAAAAACCTTAAAACTACTGAGTGAGATAACAGAACTTAAATATGTGTAAAGCCATCTCTTTGTTTTTTATAGGAAGACTCGGTATTGTAAATATATAAAAGTGTAATGCAGTGTCACTCAAAATCTACCAGAATTCATTTTGGGCCTTGTTAGAACTTTACTAAGTTTATGTGGAAAAATAAACTCTCACGAATAGCCAAGAAAACTGACAAGGAAGAGTATAGGAGATGGGGTTTACCCTACCAGAAAATAAAACATAAAATAAAAACTGTTGTAATTAAAACAGGTGCTGATTACAGAAATAGACAGAGGATAGAATAGAGAATCCAGTGTAGATGCTAATCCACATAGGGACATAGTATATGACAGCAGTGGGATTTCAGATCGGTGGGCTAGAGGATAGATTATTCAATAAATGATGTAGAAACAACTTACCGCCCCATTTGGGGAGAAACAGTGTATATATTTGTGCATGTGTATATGACATATGTTTAGGTTGCTACGTTATTCCTTCCATCACGATAAATTTCCAGTGAATCAAAGATTTGAACATAAGAATTGAAACTGTATAAGTATGAGAAACCGTGGAAGAGCTTTCCTTTTTAAAATTCTTAGTGTGGGGAAAGCCTTTTTAAGCATAACTTAAAACCTAGAAGCTGTAAAGTAAAAGATTTATAAGTTTGACTACATAAAACCTACTGCACAGCAAAAAATCTGTAAGTAAAACCAAGAATAAAAACAAAATGAGAAGAAATTATTTTGAACACATGGTTGTAAAGGGACTGTTTTCAGTACCACATAAAAAGTTCTTAAGCCATGAATAAAAAAGACAACCCAGTAAAGAAATACAAATTGGTAAAAAAAAAAAAAAATGTTCAACTTCATTCATGCAAGTTAAACAAGGTACTCTTGTCATCCGTTAGGTTACCTAACCTACACGGTTTGACAATACCTGGTGAGAAAACCAGCCCCCTCCAAGGCAGTTGATGGGGGTAGAAATTGGTTCAGAAATCACTGTGGAAGTATATATCAAAATTAAAAGCACTCATGTTCTTTGACTCAGCAGTTCACCTCTAGAAATTATTCTACACAGAAAGTCATCCAAGTGCAAAAGAGTTTTATTGTAATATTGTTGTTAAAAGCAAGAAACCGGGAACAACCTAAAACCCATAGTTGAGACTGGTAAGATAAATATAGTGCATATATGTGCGCTGATATGAGAAAAATGAACAAGATATAGAAAACTAAGGTATCATTTTTGTTTAAAAAGGAGATTATGTATGTGTCTGTGCTTGCATGTGCATAGAACACTTACGGAAGGATACTGAAGAGATGTTTAATGGCAAGTTTCTCTGGGGAGTGGAACAGAAGTCTTCAGGGAAGGGGTAGTGAGGAAAAGAGACTATTCTTCATTATATATTTGTTCTTATTGCAGGTATTTTTTTTACTATGTAAATAAATTATGATTTTTTTTAAAAAACGATATTTTTTAAAGTTCCAATCATGGAATGTAAAATTCTATTTAGTAAATCTTAACAAATTACTCAATTCTATATCATGACCATTTCTATGATCTTTTGAAAATCCCTTAACCTCTGTCAGGCCCAGTAATAAATAAGACTAAGGATGGGTTGCCCTACTTACTTCGGAGAATAGTTGGTTTTGGCTTTTTAATGTGAAAGCAGTTTGAGAAATATAAACATGGAAATATGTAAAGCATTCTAAGAACAGAAGTGAAAAGGGAAGACTATAGGGGAGAATAAAGAAAAGTGGAAAAGGATAAAGAAAACAGAAAAAATTAAGTTCAGTTGGGTTCTGGCATAAGTCCCATAAGAACTTTTTGACATCCTTCTCTTCATTTGAATGATTTGTTCTTCTCAAAACCAACTTGCACATTTCACCTTTTCTATAGTTTCTTTGTTTTCTGCTTTACAGCTATTAATTATAGTGCCTGGTATTTAATACAAGAAACCATAAAGATATGAAAATTGTTTTATATTTTAATTTTTAAGTCACTCCATTAGGCAGATTCAATTATTTCCAGATTTGTTTATAGTGCTCTTAAATATCTTACACATCTTAATGTGAAAATTAATCAGGAAATTTGACTGAGAGACATTTGTACTATTCAAAAGTGTTTTAAAATACTTCCTGTATATTACTGTGTGGCCTTTTTTTTTTTATTTTAGCATCATGGTATTTGTTAAATGTGTGTACTTGTTAGTGTTTAAATTGGAAAGTTAACCAAATGGTATGCATTTAAACATGTTTTATAAAGTATTAAATGTCAATGCCTAATAAATGTTTTTAGTTATAATAGTGTTGGAACTCAGTCCAAGTTAAGAATCTTAATCTTCATCTCTGTTTTTCAGACGAATGTAGTCGGACATTCTCTAGGGTGTACTTGGCATTCCTTGAGGAATTCTCCTGGTGAAAAGATCAACTTACTGAAAAGAAGCCTCCTCAGTATTCCAAATACAGATTACATCCAGCTGCTTAGTGAAATCGCCAAGGAACAAGGTTTTAATATAACATACTTGGATATAGGTATGATTTTTTTTTTTTGGCTTATCCCAAAACCTGTTTCTTTTTAAACAATGTTTGAGAAACAAAACCCCTTGTATACTTTATTTCACTGATTATGGATTCTGACTATAATTACCAGAGCAGTAATATATATCCTTGATATGTCCCATTCTTATAAATAATAATAATACATAACATGTATACAGTTATAATAATAAAAACAACAATAGCTAAGATTATAGAGTTTTACTACATGCCAGGCAGTATTCTAAGGACGTTACATGTTTCAACTTACTGAATCCTCAGACTAACCCTGTGAAGTAGGTTCTGTCATCCTTACATGTAAGGGAGGAACGTAAGGCACGGAAAAGTTGAGAAGTTTGCCTGAGATGCCATAGCTAGTCAGTGGTAGAGCCCAATTAGGGAAGAATCCCTGAATGCACACTGTTTGTTAAACTAGCCCTGACAGGCAGCTTGACAAATAAAAAGGCACCCGTGTTTCTAGAACAAGTACCAAGTTTGTAGAGGCCAGACCTCTTCTCTCCACTTTGTCACCGTGTGCTGGTTCTGGGAGATAAAACGGGGAAGTCAGTTTATAGCTTTGTCCCATCCAGGCTATCATCATCTACATTTTCTCTAGCCCTTAATCATTTAGATAGATAAATGTAGACAGACTGGAAAGCAAATCAGTTTAGATTTTCTTTTAATTCAGTGTATAACTGGCCCATTCTTGCGTGTGTGTGTGTGTGGTGTTATGAATTAACATCAGTATACTATGTGAAGAACTTGATATCCCTTATTCCAGCCTCAGTGAGCTCTAGGGACCTAGCTTGTTAGAGAGTAGCTAGTACGCACTGGGATAGTAGGGTGTTTCTGGGGTGAAAGAACTTCTGACTTTCTCTGCTACTTTGGGATTGAATGATGGGTCAGGTGCAATGTCTTACTGTACTGAGAATGATGCAGAACCTGGGAATTTACTACAGGCAGATGGTCAGAAAAGGTGGCTGATGGGAGACCATTCATTCGAAAATTATTTGTTAAGTATCTGCACTTTGTTGGGTGTTTGAGACACAGAGATGAATAAGCCATGTCATGAATAGATCTATGGTAGGTTTTGAATCCAGGAAAAGAAGGAAACTTGAGATAATTTTTTAGATTATGAATTAATAATGCCTTTGAAATGCTTCTTACTAATTCTAAGAACTAAACAGTTCTTGTAAATGTAGAACAGCAGTCTAAAAACCAAAGTCAGTTAATTTGGCTAACTTCTATGCAGTTACCTTCAAAAGAACCTAGATATTCTCCAAAGAAGATATACAAATGGCCAACGAGCACATGAAAAGATGTTCACTGTCAGTCATCAGGGAAATGCAAATCAAGACCACAGTGAGGTACCAATTCATACCTATTAGGATGGCTATAATGGAGAAAATAGAAAATGACAAATACTGGCACTGGTGTAGAGAAATTGTAGCCCTCATATGTTGGTGGTGGAATGTAAAATGGTTCAGCTGCTGTGGAAAACAGGAGTTTTGTAGCTCTCCAAATGAGTTTCCATATGACCCAGCAACTCTACTGCTAGGTATGTACCCAAAGGAATTGAAAACTGGTGTTCAAACAAATACCTGTACACATGTGTTCACAGCAGTACTATTCACAATAGCCAAAAGGTGGAAACAACCTAAATGTGAATGAATAAATCAATTGTGGTATATATGTGCAGTGAGGTATTATTCAGCCGTGAAAAGGAATGAAGTTCCAATAGATGCTCCAACATGGATGAACCTCAAAAACATTATACTAAGTGAAAGAAGCCAGACACAAATTGTCACATATTATATGAGTCCGTTTATATGAAATTTCCAGTGCAGGTTAATCCAGAAATTGGTGGTTGCTAGGGGCAGGGGTAGGAGTGGCGATGGGGAGCAAGTGCTTAAATGGGTACAATGTTTCCTCTTCGGGTGATAAAATGATGACAATGTTTTGTAACTAGTTAGAGGTGGTGGTTGCACAACATTGGGAATGTACTTGATGCCATTGAATAGTTCACTTTAAAATGGTTAATTTTATCTTACGTGAATTTTAACCCAATTTAAAAAAAAAAGAACCTGGATGCTAGAACTGGAAAGCCTCTTCACACATTAAATAACCGCAGTGTATCTGGGTTTTTTCTACTGTGTTGACTCCAGCTGAAACAATAACATTTAATCATGACCACTTTAAACAAATCATAACCTGTTTCTACTTCTTCCTCTTGTCTCGTTCAGCCATCTTTAGTAAGAGTGATTCATGAGTTGATGAGAAGAACTTTTGTTTCCTGGGTTTAGGTATTGTTTTTAAAAAGCATGTACAATATGGAACTAGACTCTCTACACAGACTTAGAAGCAAAGAACATGAAGGCACAAGGGAAGTCTTGCCCTGAACCGTGTGTTTCCTGGTTCAGATGTCTACTGAAAAGAACCCTACACTTCATAATAGGAAATACAGTCCCTCTAGTTCTCTAGCAACTGGTTTTTTTCCATTTTAAGAAAGTTGCTGTGGTTCAGTAATTTGCAAACACTGTTCAACTAGCCGCATTAGGATTGCTTTGGGAGCTTGTTTTTTAAAATGCAGGAATCTGGCCACTCCAACCCCAAATCCTGCATTTCTGATTGAGCAGGCTGGGGTGAGGCCTAGGTACCTGTATTTCTTTAAAGTTCCCTCAGGTGATTATGAAGCACAGCTGTGTTTGAGAACTACTGCTGTGGCTGAGTGATTGTGCTTTGTTTTTTGTTTGTTCCTATGAGAATGGCAAAGATGATGAGTAAGTGGAGTAGCAAACCATGGATGCTTACGGAGAAGGACAGTAATAAAACCTGTATTGTGTTTACAAAGGATCTGCTTTGTGTGCACTTGGGATTAATCTTTATGTTTGAATATGTCATTACAGAAGAACTGAGTGCCAACGGACAGTACCAATGTCTCGCTGAGCTGTCCACCAGTCCCATCACAGTCTGTCATGGCTCTGGGATCTCCTGTGGCAATGCACAGAGTGATGCAGCTCACAATGCTTTGCAGTATTTAAAGATAATAGCGGAAAGAAAGTGAACTTGGAACAACTTACAAAACCCTGCAGTAGCACATAGAAAGTTCCCCTTTTGCCCCTTCCCAAGTAATACGTTTACTATAATATTTGAGTTTGTGTGTTGTTTCTAAATCTCTTCATAGATTCCATCAACACTCCAGATTTAATTACCTCCTGGTAGTTGTTACTAGGCTCTTTTTAATGGCTTCAACTTTGTATTGGTATATTGTATTTATAAACTTTGTACCATAGGCAGAGTGTAGCACCCATTTTACAATGCCATGTACATAGAAGGAAGAACCTGCATGTTTGTTGTGGATGATGATGATGAAGAAGAAGAAGAAATAAACCTACTGCTGGCAACAGTCTGTCTTACTGGTGCTTAACCTCTTCTCTGCGCAGGCTTTGTAAAGGGAATTAATTTGAAGGAAGCCCCTTAGAGTGTTGAGGAACGCACTAACAGGCTTTATTGAATGTGATTGTTAAATTTCAGGGAAAATGATTGGTCTGCTGTGTATTTGAATCCATGTAATAAAGAGCTGTTGTTATAATGGGTTCTGCTCATTTTATTAAAGTGTTGCTGACTTGACTATGGCCCCATTCTTTTTAGCCGTTCTTGTGAGTAACGTTGTAATTTGGATGTTCTGTTATTTACGTATCTCTAGTTTGCTTCTGAAAGTCAAGGTAAAAAAACCTGTGGCCTAAGCAAAAATTTACAAATATGTATGTGATGAATCACTTCCATATTCTCCAAGCTTATGGAATGTTGTCTTTTTCTCTGATGTAACCAGTCAGAGGTGAATTAGTAGTTGAAAAGCATTAGCAGAATTACAAAAACAAACTTTCCACTAGGCTCAATTCACTTACAAAAACATTTCAAACAAAGCAGTGCGATTAAAAAGTTAGGAAAGAAGTCTCATGAGCAAATTGTAATCTTGCCTTTTATGTTTCCATATGTCATCCTGTAATGCCTCAAGTCTGTCCGTCAGCGCCAGCCGATAGTGCTACCTTTGTGGATTAGGTGGAAGTCTCAGGCCAGTGCTGGAGCTCAGGGAAGGCCTCAGAGAGGAAGAGAGCTCTGAATGATAAAGGTAGGTTTGACAGTCTCCAGTGTTTATCCAGGAGGAAGTGTATAACAAGTATTTTTGTGTCTGGGAAAAAAATTATACCTGGGTGGAATGCTTTGAGAAAACTAAAAGTACATAATAAAGGGAACACCCAGTGCAAGTAACTTACTTAAAATTCTAAAGAGCATTTAACTTAGTTTCACATAAGCCATAGATGTTGATTAAATCATGGAATTTTAGGTTTTTTGGGATGAGGTTAAGGGATACAAAAGACTAGAATCAAAGTTTAGACCTAAACAGGAGCTTGTGGGTCATTGCAATTAAACTAATGTTAGGTTTTTATGAATGTCCTGGGATATAGAAAGGTCAGAGTGGACTCACTCTAGAGATGATTTTAAAATGCCAACTTTGAAGAGGATGAATTAGGGGCAGATTTCATAAGGCACTGGAAGAAGAGTGGGGGAAAGGACAATATAATTTGGTTCTAAACAATTCAAATGTATTGATAAAATGATTAGATCTGAATATAAGATGCCCAGAAGTTGTGCTCTTCCTGCTCTCTGTGGTTTTCCTGCTTCCGACTCTGGAGGAAACATGCATCCTTAAGATACTATTCAAATGTCACCTCTGTCGGACTGTCCAGATTTTCTAGGGAGTTAGCTGCACCATCAAGTGTTTTTAAGAGCATTTTGTTAAGGCTCTTTACCAGTCTAATTGGTTGTACTGATAACTGTGTTAGATGAGCTTCCCAAATAGGCTGAACAAGCAACTATGCCTGTTGTGTTCGATGCATCAGTAGTGAGAAAAGATGCTTTGTGGAGTTTATGATGAGTTCCAATGGGAAAGTCACAATGCAGACTCCAAGGGTTCTGGATAAAGGCCATGGCATTTGTAGCAGAGAAGTAAACACCTTTGAACAAACAGCTTCTGTGTGCTACTTGGTAGATATGTAGCACCTGATGATGGGATGCTCAGTTGCCGTGTAGCCAAAACCACGGATAATGAGCTGGGTTCCGTCAGTCCCATCAGTTCATAAAGTTGGGTAGAGTCATGTACCATGGGTAGAGTCTTCCACTGGAGGATGGAATATACTTCTAGGATCAAACACAAATATGGTCAGAGGGCACAGTATGTTACACAAGCAGGTAGCCCAAATGTCATTTACCACTGTGGCAGAAGTGCCTCACCCTCAGCTCACACCTATTGCCACTGATTCTGTGTGGCCAATGGATGGAAGAGAAAAATGCCTGAACTCGCCTCATGGATGGGTAAGGCCAGTACATGGGTACAAACTGAAAGTAGATGATGGCTATACTACTCAGGAGTGGCTTTGAAAAATAGTGATGAAGGGAAATCCTCCCAAAGGGCAGAGTTTCAGGTGATACCCTTTGCCATCCATTTGTGTCGAAAGTGGCCCAAGATTAGAATATACTTAAATAGTGGCAACTGGCTTGGCCAGCTAGTCAGGGGCCTTGAAAGAAAGAGACCAGAGGATTGGGGACAAGAAGGTCTTGAGATAAAGATATGTGGATGTGCATAAAGTGTGAAGGACTTTGTACTGCATAATGACTCATACCATAAAGTATCCATGGTGGAAGAGGCCCTGAACAACCAAGCTGACAAAATGACTTGGGCATCATCCAGCATCTGGCATTGGAATAACCACTGTGGCGGGATTGGAGGCTACAGATGGGCCCAATGGGATTGGTTCCCACATACCAAAGCTGATCTAGTTACAACCACCGCTGAATGTTCAGCCTGCCAACAACAGATACCAATGCTGAGTCCCCATTCCTTAAGGAAACCATCAGCCACTTGGTGGCATGTTGACTTACAATGGTCCCAGCAAGGGGTAGTGATTCAATTTGACAGGAATAGATGCGTTTCAGGTAGTTCACCTTTCTTATCTACAGGGCCTCAGCCAGCATCAGTGAGGAGTTTCAGGCTCTTTCAATCACGTGGGACCCACTTCAGAGCAAAGGAGGTGTGAGAGTGGGCTAATGACCATGGGCTCTACTTGTTACATTACATAATGCATCTCCCAGAAGCTTCTAGCCTGGTAGGGTAATGGAACAGGCTGTTGAAGGCATAGCTAAATTGGGCGCCGTTCTCCAAGGTGAAGTGTAGGCTTTACATTAATGACCTTGATACAGTGCTGTGTGAATATGTAGAACACGTGCATCCAGGAATCAAGGAGTGGAAGCAAGAGTTGCCCTGTTGACTGTAATTGCCAGTGGAGAATTTGTATTTCCTGTCTCTACAACTCTGGGCTCTACAGTTTAGAGGTCCTGCTTCCCAAAGGTGAAACTCTTCCGCAAGCCGACCCAGAAAGGATATCATTGAACTGCAAGCTACGTGTACTGTCTGGATACTTCAGCTTCCTTTTGCCAAGAAACTAGCAGGCAAAAAGAGGAGTCACCATCATGGCAGGGATAATTGATCTGATCATGAAGAGGATGTAGGGCTACTGTTACACAGTAGGAGCAAGGAGAAATATGTTGGTACCCAGGCAATCCACTTGGGCACCTCTTGGTACTCTCTTGTCCAATTCTGATTATAAATGGGCAAGTGTAGTGCCATGATAAGCCTAAAAGATGATGGGACCAGAGACTCAGAACCTCTAAGGATTAAGGGCTAGATTCATCTCTAGTAAGTCACTGAGACCAGCAGAAGTGCTGGCTAATGGTGAAGAAAACCTGAAATCAGTAGTAAAGGAGAAAGATGATGATTATCAGTTATAGCCCCAAGACCCCGGTTTCAGGTTGGGGACTGTAGTTCACTCCACAAACTTTCTTCTTAGAAGTTCCCTCTAGGGAAAGAGGCTACCTGGAATCCTGGAGAATGCTCGCAGAACTTGTGCACAGAAGTGGATCCAAGCAATGCAAGAGGTGGATTATAGTGAACACTGTGGTCTGGCTCCCAGACCCCACTTCAGGACTGAAAGACTTATCACCCCTGCCACAGAGAGTGCCGCGAGCAGGCAGCCCTCAGCTGTCAGCAGGACCAGTTACATCATTTGTACGACCTAGTGCAAGATGAAAAAATAGGGCTCCTTGTTCAAAAGTTATGAAGAATTTTAAGGCAGAGACAGCTGAGTATTAAACTAAGTGTGGAGTCTTTCTAAGCATGGGGCCCTGTGTGACTACGTAAGTCTCACATCTATGAAGCTGGCTGGCCCTGGCTATCAGCCCGCTTCAGAATTTCCTCAGTTGAAAAGATTCACTTCGTCCAAGGTCAAATCCTCCTTTCTGGGCAGCCTGCATCCAGTGACTGGCCAACAAAGACCTGACCCTCTTGCTCCAATTTGGAACAGTTCCAAGGGGCCAGTCAGGTTCAGAGTTTCCCATGAGGTCAGCTGAGAACTTGGTTGAGATTATATCGCAACCCAATGCCTCCTCTGTCCAATCGCGATGTTTCCTTCCACAGATGATGATCCCAAACACATTACCTAATAAACCTCCTGACCACTGCCTCCTTTTCAGAGTCTGCTCCCTGCAGAGCCCGACCTGAGATATAGAGTTACAGTTTAGTGAGGAAAGATATTAATAGAAAAGTCAGATAAATCATGTAATTTATAAATCGTACAAAATTACAACTCTGAAATACTCTGGTTTCTCTTTAGATAATATATCTTTGCCATTTATTAAAATTTCTAGAGAAAGGACTGGTTAGGAATTTGTAGCTGGTTTTTCTTGTGCAGGTCTCTGTGGGTGGTGTGTCTCTGCTCCCATGGCAGGGCGTATTTGCATTTTGAAAAGATTCCTCTTGACGTCCAAAAGGATA